CCTGCAGGTACATGCAACAGCATATGCTGGGATAAAAACCGTTCCAAATGTTGGTGCTATCACTGTAGCGTCCTGAGACTTCCCACAGGGTATAAGGCAGTAAGTGAAGCTGAATAAATGGTAGAACAAAAGGAATAGTCCTGAGCTTGACTCGAGTGGTAGCCCTAGCTCGCAAGAACTGGACCATTGCTAGAGCAACCGCCAGACATCAAGTGGTCGCATAAACAAGGTATAACACTCTCCACCATCAATTTCACCTTAGTGGAATGTCAAGAGTTTTCCAATAAGGCAGTATCAATTCTAAAATGCCATGATCTGTCTGAAGAGAATCCTACTAAACCTCATTGTGGAGCATTAAGGATGCGTAATTCGTGAACCAGGTTATAGCTAATTAATGTGTTTATTCCTAATTGGACTATAACTGCAGTGTCCTATTGTTCGTTAAGTTTCTGAAACGTCACTACTCTAATGCTCCTACTCTTTCCGACGACTTTATAAGAGGTATACTCAGGTAGCCGAATCACTGCTGTGCAACCTTAATTTATCTGTACAACACTCCAAATTTCCTACTAAATCTCTCAAACCACATCTCGACAAGCCGCCTCAACCATCAATGCGACCGGGTCAAGTTTCTTGATATGCATGCAATATGATTATAACTTCAGATAAGGACTAATTCAGGAGTCAATTGAAACGGCTAATGTCCTATTCACGCCACAAATCACAATTACTGATAAGTGTAAGTTGAAGTCAGAAGGTCCTGTTTGCCGTTGGCGTAGGAGATATTGACGACTTGAGATCCATCAGAATGCAAGGCGCAGTTAATGGACGGAGAGGTTGGGTGCGTTTGAATTCCGTCGGGTTTGTAATTTCCATACCCTGAAAAAAACAAAGATAGGTTGAAAAACCATCTCGTATCAGTTAAAAATCTTGCCTTGAGATGTTTGCACAAAGTAAGATGGAAGTGATACTTCGCCTATGGCTGGATAGTGCATAAATTTGAAGGAGTTGTCAGAAGCTCAAGGTGATGGAAGGTTAACGACTAAAAACTTAGAGTAATTATACTCAGCACTTTTCTACACGCTTCTAAAGGAAGCTTCAAATATAAAAATTGGTAATCTTATGGAGTCTCACAATTTCTTCTTTCTTCATTGGCGTTGCGCCCTCAGCAATAACATAAATTGCCAATTTTCTTCGAGCTTCAGATGTTGCTTTGATGTGAGTCTACAAAATCAACGAAATGGATACACTTGCTCTCTACAATGTGCTTTCTTGCACCAAATTTCTGACTATAAACTCACATTATAAAAGGCGAGCACGTGATCCTTACTGGTGTTTCTGATTATTTCCGCTTCTCGTTCAACTACAAAAAAATGTTGCTTATCTTTTGGAAATATCAGCCACCAACTCTGAAAACAATGGGAGGCGAGATAACTTACACCGATCGAAATCATAACGCTGTCTGAGGATCTGGCTCCAATACCTCGTTGCTTGTTGTCCCATTTTTTTTGGCTTCTCAAGCAGCAACGCAATTACAGATTCAACATGTTCATTGAACTCCGTCATCGGCATGTTGATCAGCGTCTTCTGAAGCGGGAAAGAGTAGACTGATTGGGTTACCTCATCCTTCCTTTAAAAGAGTAACACCGCGCTATGAGCTAAGGTTTGGACAGCACTACTGATTAGCTTGCCTCCATGTTAGCAACAAATTCCTCGATGTGTTCATCTAAGTCTCTGGGATGATACTTCGACTGGATGACTAGATGAATGCCTTGAAAGGAGTTGGACATGTGCCAGCCCGCTCGAACTATGTAACCTAAAAAAGCAAACAAGCAGTTTTCGCCAGGCAGTGAAAGCTGATAGGTGAATTTTTGATGGATAAAGTTCTTACGCGATGCTGCCATCACAAAAAATCCAAATATTTTGGGTACAAAGAGTAGATATCTCAGTCCCTCCTTACCTAGTTGTTTCTCCGTCCGAAGATGATTGAACGCGGGTTCGCGAATAAGCTGGTCGAAGAGACGATGGATGGCGCAATTTTCCGCGGTAATTGGAAGATTCTGGTAGTAAACCAGGATAGCCGAAATCGCATTGCTTCGATTAATTTGCTTATATATACATGGGGGTCCTAAAGGTAAATGGGTAAGTGAAAAACTCCTCATAGAAAGGTAATGCTAATTATAAGGGCATTTTTAGGGAAAAAGAACATTCAAACGCGCTCTGGCATCCAGGTTTTCCTAAGTGAGTGTCGGTCTACCAATTCTAGTCCTGTCAACCGACTTTTCAGCTCTTCATCTGACCAGAGTAGTGAAAATGGTCAGATTTAAGTCAGCACAAGAGGCGCTTGCCGTAGACGCAATGATCACTCCATTTGCGACGGTAAATGCGTGTTTTAAGCACACAAGGTTAAGACTATCAGGACATTGGGGAAAGGAAAAGCGAAGAGTGGAAAGACACTAGTCACAACTGAATGACCTCAGAAGACGGCATCACCCTCCATATCTTATGAGGTCATAGTGGGCTAAGCGTTAAAGTTTAGCCCACTTATGCCTACTTTGTAATGGTTACACCAAGGCAACCTAAGTGCACACGTAGGCGGAAGACGCTCATTTGACCCTTTCAGGGTAGAAAACGTTACAAGTTTTTACAACTGAATGCTTAAAAAGGCATTCCTCTACCGAAATTCAGTGCTTCACTACCTTGACACTGTCAAAATGTGCTTATTTTAGCCCTGGCCACTTTCATCGCGACTATAGGGATTTTGAAGATCAAAAAGCACGTTTTCTTCCCAAAAGAAAAGGTCCAAGTTAACAAGCGTACGAGCAGAGTCAAAGGATAGCATTGATCAACACAGAATTTCTGCGCCAGCGAACTAGGAGATGAACCATCCTCAAGCTAAAAATATTTTGCTAATTTGATGCAGCCCAGTTGAAAGGTGGTACATCTCAATCAGCTATTACTTATAAAACAACACATTTTTGATGATCCAATCGAAAAAGATGACGGTAGTGTAGGAGACATTTGGTGCTGATATTGTTTGGAGAACGGAGACCTATTTCTTTTAAGTTTGTCATCATTAAAATGATAAGTTTTGTCAACCTCAAAATATTACCAGCAACTCATTGACGAATTGAAGAGGTTATAAATAGAAGTGATCGCTAAAGGATGTTGAATTCACTTGCCTCGTCTACAGCGTTCATGCACATCATAGAAGAAAATCTCAACGACTCAAATGGAAATGATAAAGTAAATAGCATATTCAGGAATATTTCCAACTAACCCGTGGGAATTTCAACCTCTCGCATGTGTGGTGAGACCATAGTCACAGGTGACCGCCAGTGGGCGTACTGATGAAGGGCGTTAGTTAGAGTTTCGTTGAACTTCAAGGCCTCCTGAAAAGAGTCAGTTCAGAGACGGATCAAAAGTCTGATATTTGACAATGAAGATTGTAGCAACTTTGCACCCAATGACTCACTTCAACGTCCACATTGCCGTACACCATCGTCTCGACGAAAACACGACGAAAGAAGGAAGGTATAGCTTCCACCAGTTCTTCGTATGTGATTTCTGCAAAAGGAAAATTCTCATCAACTTCTGAAAATGGGTCGTTAGCCATAAATCAAGCTCACTTCGAAGTGTGGTATTTTACTTGCAATAAAAAGACTCTTTAGAACGATTAATTTCCTGTAAAAACGTGTATGTGAGTAATTCGGGGAAATAATAAACCTGTCAGTGAAAAATGATGAACTATCTGTATCGGTAAAATCAAGCGGCTGTCAGAGGGATCCGCTATTACCATCGACTGCTGCACACCTCTCCTCATGAAGACAAGTCCGATCGAATAGGACCGAGGCGCAATGGCCATCGGCCTGATCAAGAGGTGAAAAGGAGGTGAAATTCTTCATCTTCATCTCCATCTTCTTCAGTAAAACTGCATAGCGCTCTTCATCTGGCCTCGTGAATTGCACCAAACGGTTCACTATGTTCTCCACCAACACTAGCATTTTGTGATTGTAGCCGCTGAAATTGAGCTGTAATAGTTAAGAAGGGATTGGCGTGTGTAATAGGCAAGTGCGATGAAAGATTGCATTTGAGTGCAAAATAAACGTGCAAACAGGAATAGTGTTGAGCTTGAGCCATGTGTGCCTTCTTTCTCCAGCCTTTCAGTAAGCTAAATTGTGAAGTTTAATGACATTTCAATGCACAGTTCCGGACTGTCAACATCACATATGCGGCTACAGAAAGAGATAATGATAAGGGCACTCCAACGCCCATAGTTGTTTTATGTACACCAAAGTATGTGCCATATTGCAACACTCAGCAGCAATAACATATCCTTTTGAAATAACGGGAAGAATAACTCCATATTTTACAGACTCATAGGATAACGAGGACTGAAACCACAAAAGATATCAGCACTTCTCTTTAATAACAGAATAGTCAATGAAACACCAAAACAGCGGATTAAGAATTTCCATTTCATTGATTGGCAACAAAAAGGTTTCGATTCGGCGATGCATCTCATTCAGGGGTATTGGCATGCAGTAGAGATAGGCGGAAAGATTGCAGACAGGCAGTGAGTGGTGTCTGTTGTTTCTCTTGATCAACTACTCGCCACCAATATTAAAGAGATCTTTTGAAGACAACACGACTAGATGATGGCATTTGCACCAAGAGTGGACAAATGAGAAGTTTTGTAAGCTTTGTAAGAGGACTCACTCGTAGTGTGGGTGCATTGGCTGTGATGTTGAAGCAGAGGCCCGCTAGGCTAAATTGGTAGGCCTCTTCGTTTATGCTGTCGTCAAAGAGGTTGGCAAATAACTGCAGCAGCAGGTCGCGTACCTGATCCTGCGGCCAAATCGGACTTGAATAGTTCAGAGGTAAAAAAAAGAAGAAACAAACGCGGAATTAAGAGCTACAGTCTCAAGGTTAAAGACTCGGGAATCGAGATGCCATCAGCAAGATTGCCACAGACCTTTAAAGTGGCGCACGTTTCCTACAACCAAAAGCGGTTATTGACACCAATAGTGGCCAAAATTGTTGGCTTCGTGGCATGTGCCAGTCTCCTGAATTTTGATGGCAAATTGGAGTTTCCAGTGCGTTCGCATTTATTAAAAGTGGAACCATCTGAGATCGCAAAGTCCTGCTTATGTCTTGATTAGCACTTTTATTTCAGTCAATCAAGAGAAATGGGTGTCATAACAAAACACGAAGTGTAAATTAAGCAGCCAACATTGAAAAAGTAGAAGACGAACTGGGACGATGAATTCCAGATGACTGCAAAATTTGAAGATGAGTGGAAATCCAGATCACCTCCTCATTCAAATTTGGCAGCACAACAGTGTACATTATTTGCTATTTGTCCGAAAACAGTACCATTTGGCAGTTAAAATGCCAAAAGGTTCTTTGAAAGAGGAAAATAATTCTATTTGGAGGTAGTGTATTGCTAATGGTAATTCAGTCAACACAACGTGTTTCTTTAGGTACCAGACTTCGAAATCACTGTGATTTTTGAGACTGTCCTTCCTATTACTAGCAGTGATTATATTGCAAACAATGCACAAGCTCCACGTTTTTATTAAACACTTCTTCTAACCTGAAAGTTCGCCCCTTGTACACAATCTCCAAAAGTTTCGTAAAAAATTAAATTGCATAGAGATGTTTTCCACGACGTAAAAAGGACGGTGACGGAGGAATTACCTAATGAGATTGAAATTGACGTTACATTTGGGCAATCTAAATTCGTTATCTTGTTTAAACCAAAGCCGCGTGCCGGGGTTGTTCAAGAGGATTCGTGGCCCGGAAGGGACATCCTGCAGATCAGGAGAGGATTCACATCTTAGGCCAAAATCGTTGGGCATATAGGGGTTGCGTGAAGGCAAGTGCAGTTCTGGACACAAACCGCAACTACGCCAGGCCTAATGAGATCAAAGAAAGCCGCGAGTAGTTCAAAGAAAATGCACAATAAAATAAGAAAAACTGTTTCAATTCATACACTTTCCTACTTAACATATTGATCACGTCGTTTTAAAGGTATGGCCTCATCCTAATTCCTTGGGAGACAATACAGAACGCTAATGAGCCACAATGCAATAAAAAAGGAATGATAGAAATAGGAATTGCAAAACAAAAATAATAACGCAGACAACAAGGCAAACAAATTTAGGCCACGACAATCACTTCGCCCACGAAGCAGATCATCGTAGTTAACTTGTCACACACACACATGCACAATGTAGTCAACCAAAGGACGCGGTTCCGTGCCATGTTTTGTCACCTTGTTCAATGTTGTTCGGTTGGTTGAGAAACGACCCCTCCTCAGACAAGCATGAAT